AGAACTTGTGAAAATTAATGATTTTTTTGTATCAGCTTCGGCTAATGCAGTATTTATTCCAGTGAAGAACATTTCCCTTCTACTTTTCAATACACGGTGCTTCTTGCCACACAACAGACAAAGGTGATCGGCATCTTAGCTTGTACCTCTACAACACTGATTTGAATAAGTCACAAGAGGAATACTGATTGATTTGCCCTACAATTATCTATCTGGCTGAACTGCTCATCTCTGATCTCTGGGGTCTAATGTGGGATTCCTCATTAAACAAACTGAGTGGGGACTCCTGCTCAGGAAGTACCTCATGTTGACCTTGTGGGAACTCTGCTGTGAAAGCAGATTGTGTTGGAGCAGAATTCCTGCAAGTCAGTGCGACACACTTCTGTTAAAAATGATCTTGCTACCCCCCCACATTGTCCCCCAAAATCCCATTGTTGCTAAAGTGTGCTGGTGAGCTCATAAAATCTAATGCCCAATTACAACTCAAAGATGGCCTCATTAGCCTGAAAACCTGGAGGCTTCTGGTGTGAGTAACTTCCTAGTCAGCTGTCCCAGCATTCAAGTTGTGAGTGGAAATTTAATACGACGACGGAATCTGACTTTCCAGTTGAATCTCAACTTCGATTGCTACTTTACATAAATGTCTGCAAGGCTATTCTATTTTAAAGCAGGACAACGCAACACTCTCACGACAACTGTTCTGATCTTGACCATTGAATTGGAGGAAGATATATGATGGTGGCTAGACATCTACAATCAGGAAGAAGTGGAAAACGAGTAATGATGACAAAGAGCCATGAGGAGAATGATTAATTTAAGACACAGGAGAAACTATTTTCCTATGATATCATGGGATGTTTAGGGTCCACTGTGAACTGGCAGATGGGATAACAGGCTAATGTCTCATTTGAAGGACAGCACTTCTGATGAGGCAGTCCTTCCTGCTACAGCACTGAAGTCAACCTGGTCTAAGAACTCAAATTCCAAAATGGTGTTTGAACCCACAACCTTCTAACCCAGAGGCTGTCAACTGAGCCAAGCTCACAAGAAGTAATTATTCCCACAACACCAGAAGCTCAGTGCCAGATCCCTTCCTTTATCAGAAAGAAAAATGGAACCTTTCAGCTTGCGGCACAAGTAACATACACCGGGCTATAAGCCTTGAAAGTCTCTGCAAAGTTTTATTTCCTTCCCAATGACCAACCATAAAATTATCTTAGTTCTGAGTAAAAATCTTGCACAACAGTGCTTTGAAGCATACAGCTTAGTTACACGGGATTAGGGAGCACAAGACTTAAGTTAATTATGCTTGTTATTTTGCAAATTAAAAGTCAAGTGTGGAAGGGTTTAGTCATCTGTGGTAGGTAGTTTTCACTGTAATCTTCTATCCATTAGCATAATTAAATGTGGGACAACAGTTGTCTTGGAGCACATGGCAAGGTTGAAACAAAAATTTTAATGGACCAATACCAAGATCATATTACAACTGAGTCTCGTACTATCTTCACTGGACATCCAAGTATGTGGGACGTCCTCCCGATGTGAAATAAACATAAATTAGTACTGTAGTAGTTTACAATACTGGTTAGAATATCACTTTCAGATTCTTGAAACATATCAACCGTGTTAGTGTCCAATAGTCATCTTAAGTCTTAAATAGATAAAATTGTTTTCTGTAATCTGTACACAGATGTTCCAGTTACCAAATAACTTTGTTACCTAAATTGACAACATTATTGTTGAAAGCAGCTAAAAGATGATTAATGTGAAATCAACCCCATGGGTCCTTATTAATATTCATAAGATTAACCTCATTGTTAGAGAACATTCATCAAATATGACATTGGTGGTGATGGAATAAAAATTACTGAAAAGCAAGCAATACGATAAATGATTTAATTAATTTTTTAATTAATTAGCCTTTTCTCATAGTAACGCACCAAAAAAAAATAATTTTGTAAACTCAAAAATGAAAGTGAGGACCAAATGTTATTGATTTGTTACATTGATTAAATTAAAAACTTTAGTGATCAATTAGTAGATTCCTAACATTCTTAGTAAAACACGTTCTTTATATTTTGAGCAATTCCTGGTCATATCGTAACAAAATAAAACCTTAACGACACAATGATTGGAGCTAAAGGAATTGCAATTTCCCCAGGTGTGTTACTTCTGCTAATATTGTGATTCAAAAACAATTGATATTGCACGAGTGAATTCGAACTTTACTGACGGTATTAACACGTGTTAATGCGGACTGAGATGGTTAGGAATAATTTTGTTTTAAAGTGATATCAAAGCAAAAACAACTTTTTCAAGCCTGTGAAACAACACTGGCAGGAGACTACAACAATAAATTACATTTATACATCGCCTTTCACGTCAGGAAGTCATCGCAAGACTATTGTAAGGAGCTCCAAGAGTTCACCTGGCCTTACTTTAAACTATACATCCAGCAGTGATCAAGACCGCGTTTGTATCTTGTTCGCTCTCCTAACTGAAAACTCATTCACTGGAGCACCTGATTTAAGTGAGAAATCTAACAAACTGAATAATAGCTTTCCTGCAGGTAGACTCTATCACTAGTTTAGATCCAATAGGCCTCTTTCAAGACTGAATTTCAGCCTTACAGACCTACATTGAAGAATCTGAAGGGATCTGTCAAGCAGCTCAAGAGAATGCAGACAAAACATTGAATGGATGAATGGACCATCTACAAACGTTTCTCAAGTGAGTTCACAATAAATTGGGATATTCAGCACCTCATTTACACTGCTAGCTGGATGCCTTATGAACCCAGCGTCTACAACTGCAGTCTTCTTCTGTGAACAATATGGTCAGGCCGACTTCAGCACTGAGAAAGCATCCCAGCTATTGTAGGCATGTTTTATGATGCATTTGATAGTGAGAAGCAGCATGCACATCACATGGACCGATACCTAGTGCTTTAGTAAACAAATTTTGGAGGTCCAAAAGTAAAGACCTGCCACTGAGCCAGAAAACAAAATTCTCAACTGGATTCATAACCGGACCCAAAAGTGGCACATTAAACAATTCAACAAGATGATTCTTTTTATTATGGTTAAAATGTATTAGAATTTAGAGATGCCCAATAAACAGCTTTTAAATGGAAAACCAATCTCCTTATAGATGGTCCAAAATAATTCCTGTCTTCATACCAAACAGGTAAATCTTTGGAAGTGAAACACTGGGTTAAATAAATAATAATAATCCTTGCATTTGATATAGCACCATATCACAACTTTGAGACATCTCAAAGTGCTTCACAGAATATACTGTAAAGTGGATTGACTCTCCACTTTATAGATGGGGGGGAGGAAAAGGGATAGATGAAAAATCAATACCAACTTGGTATCTGCACTAAGATGAAATCATTTGTTTGCGGGGGGCGGGTGGGGGGGGGGGGGGGGGGAGGAGAGAGGAAGGGTAAGAGAAGGTCTATTCATTTCATGGTGGCGAGTTGAAATATATGCTGGTCCAGAAGTGGTCCAATGTGATCACGACAGTCAATAATTCAATGTACTCTAGTTGCTTTTTGTCTTTAGAACTCTTTTGTTAGCCAGATTGTTATTTTAAGGTCACAGCATTCTCCACCTCCCCCACAGAAACTGGAATATTACCAACAAGCTCAACAGCAGTACCTTCTTTGCAAACTGGTCCCTAATCAAGTCATGCACCTCTCCTCGGGCACTTGCTCCCACTGTTACATTCATTACTACAAGCAGCACTTTTCTATTCCCTGTGGTGTCTGCATTAGCAGAAATGACACCGAAAAAATGTAATAATAGAAACTGCCTTTATAAACGTAACCAGCAGACCTAAAAAGCACCTTGTCTGGAAGGTGTAAATATATTTTCCACCCAAGAAGTAATGGTGAAAATAGGCCATTATCCCAGAACTACATTCTGTTCCTCCTAAACTAATGTTCTGTTGCTTTTCCAGGAATTTTTTTGTCAATATACCGACTGCGATTTAGAATGGTCTATTGAGAGGGTGAGAGAGAGAAACACACACACGGGTCTATTATGTAATATAGGGCAAGACTCCTACCCCATATTATAATGCAGTTTGGGATCCATAAAATTTGGACTTGTGATATTATGGATCTAAGAAAAATAATGGCTGCTAGTTCCACTTCCAGGGCATCAGGTTGCTGCTGTTCTGACATCCAGCCTGATTGGCTAGCCTCCTGTATTTTCGCAGTGCGGAGGAAGCCAGCTGCAATCGCCCACTCTCACAAATGTTTGTAGCAGTGTTTGTCGAGGGTGACTGAAGTCTATTACTTTCCAGCGCGGTACTTTATAACAGGATCGCCGTGCCCTGTATGTGTAAAACTATATGCAAATCGGGTTGCATAATACACCAGAAGTTAAGCATTTGTTAATGCATCTGTAGGTATATATGTAATTAAGTAATATAAATTATTGCAGCACCATATTACTAACACTGTGGCTGAGAACAGCTAACTCTGTACCTTCCCACTCTATAAAGCTCAGTACCACACCAGGCAAGCATCTACCCACTGAACCATCAAGATTATTATTACTACTATTACTATAAGAAGCTTGAACAGGTTTGTTCAAAGGAAAAATAAATCTGGCTCATTAATAGATTTTACTGGTCCAAAATCCAATTAAACTGGATCTCATCCACTAATCCAGTGTCACTTTACTTTGGACATTTAAATTAATAGTTCATTTACACACACATGCGCACACATACACGCACAAAGTTAAATATGACACCTATTTATTCAGGGTTTGAATAGATAAGTATTACCTCCACATACGCCAATTATATCAAAGTAATGCCTTTATCCTGTGTGAAATAAAGCAGCAACAACTCTCCACACGGTGTGTCACCACACAAGACACATGGTCTCATTATCTCTGAAAAGCAGGGCTTGGATGACCACATGCACATCGGCCCAACATAAACAGCAAATGACTGACAGTCCCTCAGAGAGATGAATTACTCACCAGATCCCAGTCTATGCTGCGGAAGAAAGTGTGAGACTGGATGTCTGCAAATCCTGTCTGCAAGTGGCACCCAAGTCGCTCTTTAGGGTCCTGTTTAGGATTACATGTATCACGATTAAGATGCATGGAAGTGATGGTGTTTGGCTGAACATTGCTATGACTATACAACCCACTTTCATTATATAATTCTCAGTTCTAACACTCATTATAAGTAAGGGTTTGTAAACGCTTTCAACCTTGGTTAGCTTAGCTTTTCAATGACTTCTGGAAAAGATGAGTAACAGAGCTACAAAATAGGTGGAAAAGGGAACGGCTGGCACTGTGGGATGAGGGGAGGAGGGGTTAGGAGTGGAGAACTAGTGCTGTTGGGAAATTTCCTCTCGTCTTAACCCGTAAAACCATTTTGTCTTAAAAATTTAAGGAAATTGAAAAATAGTCAGTCTTAAGAAGTGGATTCCTTATAAGAACGGCAGACAATTGACTCCCAAATTAAAATTGGATTTAACATTTTTTCACAATTCTGCACCAAATTAAATTTTAAGAAACAAATGGTCTCACGGGCTGAGACTCCGTGAATATTTGGGCCTCTGTTGCATATGTCAATGCTGACATATAGACAGCTTTCCCAAAAGAAAAGGACCATTGCTAGGTCCAAAAGGGGAGGACTTTGGAACACTCTCACTGGAGGCAAGCCACTATTCCCTCCTTTAATAATCCATTTCTCCAGCATCTGTTAAAGAGTCCAAAATTCCCAATTGGTTCAATTTGCTCAGAGCCTAATACATCCAGTTAATTATTTTGGACAGCATTAATGTAAGTTGAGTATTGTAGGAAACTAATTTGATACCTTACAAATACCTTTCCATTGTTTCTGCAAGGTCTTCGAATTTGAGATCAAAGGCCCAGAACAAGGTCAAGTTGTGCCCCAGAAAATTATCTGGCCTGATTAGAACAGCAAATAAAGTTAACTTGCAGCATAATACTCTTTTGAATTCAAGGAGCAACTCTGGTAAAGAGAACTAGACTAATAGATAATTAAGAAAGCAAAATTTTGCACAAGGCTTTTGCTGGTGACATAGCTCATTCCAAGCACATGAAGCAGAAGTTTTACTGAAAGATTTACACATCAATACAAACTTCAAAACAATTAATTCATACCCAAAGCAGAAAATCATCATGTATAACCTTGTAAAATTTGTTCTGGCGGTCCCAACAAAAAGTGATTGCCCATTTGAGAACCATGTTAGCATTGCCGCAGCACACCTGATAATAGTTAAAGCTCAGGACCTATTGAGGCCCGGAAAATTCTCATGGCCTGTAGACCATTATCTTCAAATTTAAGATTACGTAGAATTATGGAAAATTTTAATTCATTGTTAATTTTGAAGCTGTTTTTCTGCTTTTCTTCTTCTGCTGGATGTTATACGATGCCTCCCACAGCTGAATAGCCTTTCCATGACCAGTTAACAGAAACCTAATGACATCCATGGAACTCTACCCACCACTATGAATTGTGACCTTTAGTTAAACGAATATTTTATCTATTTCACGAGCACAAGCTCACAACAGACTTAAACAAAAGCTCTGCAAGATGTGAGAAACAGAGATATGAATAACGCTTTTGCCTAACTTTTCCGGGTAATTTAGCACGTGAGCGGTAACAGTTTTAGGAAAAGCATCTGTAGTGTAACACAATCAATTCAACGTCTACTTAAATAAACAATCAAATTATTTATTGATAGCCACAGTAATTCATGCAAAAACATTCCCACTGTGTAGAGGATATACGGAAGAGACTCCCAGAGAAAAAAATAGCAGTGAATGCTGTGTTGATTAACTCCTTCAAAAAGACAGCTGAATAAATATCTGGTCGTGGCTAGGATTGAAGTTATTGGAATAATTAAAGACTAAGATGATCAGATAAACTTTGGAACAATGGCAGTGGATGCACAGATAGATACCCGATGTCGTGCTGCTTGAGCATCAGAGAGAAGATGTTGCAGAACTTTCTGCAAGTTGTGTCAATGAGCCCAAGACAGAACTGATGATGCATTGTCCTTGCCTTTGATAGACCAAGTGATCTTTTCTCAATCTATGCCTTCTTATCCAGTGGCCAGTAAAGAACTGGGTTTTGGTGATGAGTTTGTCAAGTGGCATCAGCTTTACAAGTACCATTAGATCAGTCCTGTCTTTTCCCCTTTCCCAACTTACATTGATGTCTTTGGACTCTTGTGGGCAAGAGGCCATGATCTATTTAAAATCAAAGATTACACACTCATCAGTCTCTTACCTTATTTAAAAATCCCTTCAGAACACTGGCTGCTTTTACTGAAAGGGATCTGGGGATACGAATAGGCTTCTCCAGAATAACTGAGGATTAAAAATAAAATCTATTAGGTTAGATTCTAGTTCCTATGACCATAATTCCCAAATCATTTTCTCTTCTTCAAGTCTCTTACTTTCTTGCACGCTGCTGAGAATCATGTCTACATCAAAAAAACCAGAGAACGCTTATGGCATAGTAGGAGGCGCATTATCTTTGCTCATTTGGCTGAGCATTGGAGTTGAGGCCACAAGGTTCTTAAGGGCCTGAGATTCCTCCTGATCTCACTCTTAAGACCAATGACACAAAAATTCAAATTGTGCAGAACTGTGGAAAATTTTGAAATTCAGTCTTAATTTGAAAACCGATACTTTTGAAGAACGATGGCAAACCAGCTTCGAAATGAAGACTAAATGTAAATGTTTCCAAGATTCAGCGCACATTTAAATTTTAAGACAGTCTAAGGCGAGGTGGGAATTTAAGGCTTCTAGTGTCTACTCAGCCCATTACACTTTTAGGCTTTGGGTTGAATGGAGCAAAAAAATGGGGAGGAGGGGAGGATCATGCAAAGCATTGTGCAGAGATAGGAATAAAGCTTTTCCTTTTTGGCAGCTAACCTTGAAACAGGTAATCCTCTGTGTTCATGTCTGGATTGTCTGTGATAATGTCAAACGGTGATCTTCCAGCCATCATTTCGAACATCAACACTCCAAGTGCCCACCAGTCCACACTGAAGCCTGACAACGATAGAAGAGAACAATAAGCAATCTGCTTCACTAAAATAAAATCTCTCTCCCTTTCTCTGCTGCCTATACAAGTTGCCCTCATAATACACCATCACCACCGAAGTACAGCTTGGTGCTAGGTCACCGAGAAAGGCCATCAACATTGGCCTGTGTTGCATCAATACGATTATGTTAAGAATGCTTTATTGCAGTGCTCACCGTATTCTTCTCCTCTCAGTATCTCAGGAGCTATGTAGTTGGGTGTGCCACAGAAAGTGCTAGTAGTGTCACCAGGGCCAAGTCCTTCCTGTAGAGAAAACAGTTACGAAAGCTTCAGAACAGCACAAAAGCATAAATATTATGCAACATTAGCGCAAAAATAAATCTTCAGTTCTTAAAATACATTGATTGGTTTAATTGAATCGTCATTAGGCGATCCAGTAGATAACAGTGATATAAAATTTCATCTGAATGAGCTTTAAGTTATTCAGTATGACAAACCGAGTACTACAGCATTAAATAATGGAAACGTGTTTAACCAGGGTTGCAAATCTTCGAGGAGACGCTGAACACATACTTAACCAAGGTAAAACATGGTATGTACCAAAAGCACATTGAAAAAAAAATCAGAGTAGCATTGCTAAGGAAGGTTTGAAAGCAGACTGAGCTGCATTGTGTAATTCAATATTCATTGACATAAACAATTAATCAGCAGTTCCAAATTGTGCACACAGTGGAATGTAATATTCGTATGTTATAGAGTGAGGTAAATGGAGAAACAGATGGCTCACTGACAATTATTGAAAATATTAGTACTATTAATTGTACTCTGCAGTTTTGCAAATTAATTATGTTCTGCAAAACTAGCTGCTACATTTCTAAAGCTGAATATTAGTCAAAGTCAATAGTCATCTAAGTCATTGTCATCTACGTCAAAACCATACAAGTCTAGCAATTTCTTAAAAAGCTTCTCCTCTAAATATTGATCCCACAATTTATGACGATTCAATCAAAATCATCTGAATTTCAAAGCCATTTAAAAGCTTTCTGGATGATCGCATCTATACACTTCTATTACAGGTAGACATCGCACCTTGCACATTCCATAATCTGTTAACTTGATGTGACCGTCAGAGTCTAAGAGAACGTTGTCCAGTTTCAAGTCTCTGTATATGATTCCTCTCTCATGAAGAAAGTTCAGAGCAATACAAATTTCAGCAGCATAAAACCTACAAGAAGATAAACAGACTGGTAATTTCGGTAAAATTGCATCATAGCGCTACGACTGCCCTGCGAATTTCTCCCTCAACATTAGAAAATAATCTGAACAAAGTACTTCCCTACTGACAGTAAATTGTATGTCCGTAAACTGAACATTTATGTCAAATATCTAATTGGTTGTTGCATAACTTGTCCATTTCCCCTCATCTCGACCCACCAAAACTATATTCACAACAGCGCTGGACTATAAATCACGTCTAACGCAGCATAAAATAAATAAGGGCTGCATAACAGCAGATCCTAGCCAGCGGGTGCCAAGTAAGGCTGGCGTCGCAATCTGGACCCAGGTGCTCATAAGACAACCAAGCCAAGGAAGATAAAGTATTATTTGCACTTAATCAAAATGAATTCTTGCAAACGTTTAATTTTCACTTCAAACAGTGAATGCCTGTGAGAGGCCACTCGATTCAGACAATTTTCTTTATATCCTGTGAGGACACTGGGTGTACGTTGGTTGGCAGGACCTGTGCGCTCACCTTCTTTTGAGGACCTGGTGATCGATTGCCTGACACAAATCCTTTACTGGATCCATGATTTATCTACAAGTGGTATGACCTCTCTCTATGAAACAAGCCCACTGTTACCTCGGTTGTTCTATATTAACCCAAGGACAATTAATTTCACTTGTAATGCTACTTTTCTTTACCTGTGCAGTTCTCCCGTTTAAAGTCCTTTTCCAATATCTGATGCCTAACAATCCAGATCACTCTAAAGATAAAATTTTCTTTGGATTGTTCAGTATTATGTAATTTGAAAACATGACAAATAATGGAAATAGAGATTTTTGTTTCCATTACGTAAGTATCAGGATCCTTTGATGGTTTTCTGTTTGGCACCAAACCAAAACACACGCATATTTGTTACTTACCCAACCATTTACATGATGCTTTATATATTTGAGAATACTGGATGCCTTTCAGTGAGTTACAAGAAAGTAACCCAATAAAGAGGGTTCAAATACCATCACAAACCACAAGAGATAAGCTGAAGTTCAAGTTAGTCACAAGAACTTTCAAGCTCAGCTTATTCGCTTGTGTGAGCCATTCGTTACTGCTCGTGTTTGCTAAACAATTGATTTTTTCATCCACAAGAATTGGTTTTATTACGGTAAGAGGCAGAGCAAAAACTTGTCGTGCTTTTGATGTCTGGCCACTTGAAAGCACTGCAACGTGACTCACAACATCATATTTTGAGCTTCATTACTGTATTATTTTGACCAGTACATTACAAAAAAAGAAACAAAAAAGCCCTAATTCAGTATGTTTCCAACACCCACATTGTATTTCCAACCAAGCGGGAGACTGTTTTGCAAGTGAGGCAACTTCATCAACAGGTCAAGAACATGTTGGAATGCATAATCTCAGAAAACATTCCACTATCATGGCTGTTGTCAAATCCTGAGATGGATTCCAGGACTTAATTTTCCCAAATCACCATCTGTTTTAAGAATTCATATAAAAATAATAGAGACACTTCTCTTTAATAAAAAAAAACAATGTTAGAAATACTGGTCAATCAGGACTGAAAGAATGGTAATTTACAGTGTCTTAGTTGAGTCTGAAACTTTAACACAGCTTTCTCATTCAGCTGCTGGGTGTTGTGTCATGATGTGGGTGTCCACCATGTTACGCCTTTATTATAGATTTCAGCACGGAAAGTTTTTCGTTTTAGTTGTACAATCTATGGAGAGTTGCCTCCTATCCACTCCTTTCTACCTGCTAGAACTCAGCAAGTAACAGCAAGTCTCTGAAAGGCAAGCTGCACAGAAATGCAGTGCAATTATGAAATGATAATACTATGACTAGCCTGCAGAGTTCTAACAATGGAGCATAATTCATCTCGATGTCAAAAGTGCCAGACATCACACTGATTCCCATAACGGCTAGAAAGGCTTATGGACATACAGTAACAGACTTGACTAACAACGCACTAACTTCTCCAGAGATGGTTACAAGATGTTGACCTTTTTCCTCCCCACCCGCTCCAGTCAGCAATTCACATTGGCAGCAGGCCACTGTCAGACCTATTTGCCCCTCCAGTCACTCAGCCTTGCTCTACCAGCCTTGTTAATTTATACAATCCTGCTGCTTTCCGCTATTAATCTTAACAGGAAGATCTAGAAACTGCTTGTACCTGGCATGTTCCTCAGAAAGCTTCCTCTGCCGTTGCATATGAAACATGAGGTCGCCACCATTGACGTATTCTATAACAAGAAACAGCCTGAAATACACCATAAAGAATAAGATTCAAAACATGAAACTTGCAAAAACCTCCAAGAGCATTGTATTTCTACAATAAATGGGACAATTATACACTTTACTTTTGTTTTACATTTTAATTCAATAAAAATATTAAACTTCTGTAATTTCCAATGTTTACTGCATTATTCCAGAAGATGAATTATTCCCTTTTTAGTGCAGTTATGAAATAATTGCAGTAGCTTGAAGCCAAGTTGAACTAGTTACGATGCACAAAGTATATTCATTCCTACACTCCTCATTGAACAAAATATTCAACAGCTGACGACATTCAAATGAAGCAAGCGTTCAAATGAGTGTGTTGATATCCTGGTGAGGTTCCAAGCTGCCCAACATTCTCAATCTGTCACTCCTTCTCATTTCTTTTCTACCATAGAGGTATAGAATATATAGAGAAGAAGGAGCAATAAAAGGGCCAAAGTCATTTTACATCCACTCCTGGAAGAATCTCACTCTCTCTCTGCCAAACTACACTTTTTTCCTGTTCCAGGTCCCTTCAGAGGGCAAAATAAAGGTGAGAGAGAGAGAAAAAAAAAAGGTCAATTCAGAGGTAAACATTACTGTGGCAAGTTTCTTCCAAAGTCCTGAAGCTAACCGTGAGAGCTGAAGAGAGGTCTGAGCCATCATTGATACAAGAGTTTTCTTAATTAATCCCTCTATCCTTCTATTAATATTCGGCGTGGAACGCATTGTACTGCAACAAGAAACACAGAGAAGAAGCTTAGAAAATGTAATAAGTTTTAAGCTCTTACCTGCTTTCTGTTTGGAAACAAGAATGAAGACCGACAAGAAAGGGGTTACTGCAAGCCTGCTCAAACACATGTTTTTCTGTCTGCACCCAGTCAATATCCTGCAAAGGGAAAGATATGCACATTATACATCACCTTAGTGAGAAACCAAGGGACATGAATGCAAACTCTTAAAGAATGATTTGATTAAAAACAAGGTTTACTTTTTAATCCCTAGATGCCTCCCACCACCCAGTAATCAATCCTGATTTGTGAGAGGAAACAAAATCCATCTCTTACCCACTAAACTCTCTTCTTTTCACACTTTGCCCACCAGTGCATGACATTTCAACAGGTTTTAAATCAGTTTTTTCATAAAGGGATAATTTTAGGGCGTCAGAAGATAGGGATCCATTTATCTTAATTCTTCCTGCAGACTTAACAGCAGGGTTCAGCCTCATTTTAACATGATGTCCTGTTTCAATCCATTAGTATTCATTGAATATCAATGGTCAATTTACAATTGTAAATGATGTGCCATTTATACAAATAAAATTTGGAAAGGGAAAACAATATCAGACCCCTTTCGTTATTCAGATTGTGTATAATTAGAAGAAATATACTCTCCAGCCAAACTTAATTTCCTGAGGGAGGTAACTAAACCCGAGGTAAAACTTCCAACATAAACATAAAGACACCTCCAGGACTCTAACCTAGTAACTCAATGTTATTCTTTACACTATTCAATCATAAATAACCTACCCTCTTCAAACGATAGCACTGAACTGAAGAGCTCCAACTCCTGGCATCAATTCTGGTTGTGATTATCTGAATCATCTCTAATCACTGAGCTAAAGGTGTTAAGATGGCCATTTGGTCAATATTGGAATGCTATTTTGCAATTAATTAAAAATCAGGATGAATCTCACAGCACAATATTTCAACACTAGACTGACCCTCTAGTGGAGGACGTAGACATTTCAAAGCATGCCTTTGGGAATCAAATGTTTTTCGCTTTAGCTATATGCACTATCGACCCACTGAGTCAACAACTGCACCTGCGGCAGGGTAAATTTATTATGTCCACCTTTCCATCTAGTGAATGAGTACCTGACGACAACCAAGGCACTTTGCCTGAAGAGTGGACAAAGAACTGAAACCTTGCTTTTAGTGCAGCGTTTCAAAGCAGGAGAAAGAAAGTAGCTCCCAAGGACTGAACCTCATCCAGCTGGGGAGGGTTAGAAAGCAGTTTCCAGACTCGGAACCAGTTTAAAATTAAATGCGATGCTTCCCGGGGTGTTTGCTGTGAGTTTTGTTTGTTCCAGTCCTTTTTAAAAATTAAAAACAGCAGGACAGGATCAGCTACAGGTTGAGACAATGTTAAACTATACCAACAAGAATAAATATGCAACAAGGCTTTTGGTAAACAAGCTGCAATCACTAATTACCACTTTCTTCTTCTGTGTTTCTACAGTATGCAAAACAGACAAAAAGATCTTTGAACTGACAATTAAGGAAAATGTTTCACTTCAAAGACACAACAATAATGTGTGCGAGAGAGAGAGAGAGCACTCAGCTGACATTTTGGGGGAAAAAAGGGCAATATTCTCATATTGTTTGTTGAATTATGACAGCACCATTGCAGTCCCCTTTGATCTGGGTTGTCATACCTACCCGACCTGAAAAAACAATGCTCATTAAAAAAACAACACATCAAACTCTAAAACTACTCGAGGGCAATATGGAGAAGTGTATAAAATAGTAACAATCCTTGCATTGTTGTAGTGCCTTGTCGCATCAAAACTGCTCAAAAACGACTTCACAGGTAATTACTGTCAAGTGCAATGGTTGTTTTTGCACATAAGTGTGGCAGCCATTTGTGCAGAACAAGGTCCCACAACACATGAAAGTGAAAGACCAATTTATCTGATGAGCCAGGACACTGGGGGAAAAAAACTCTGCTCTTTTTTTGAATAAAGTCACAAAATCTTCAATCTCCACTCAATCAGTCAGATGGTATTTCCGTTGAAGTCATATCTGCAAAATGGCACTTTTGACAATACAACACTTTCCTATCACTACCATGGACTGTGAGCTCAAGTCTCAATGTGGTGTTTAACAGCCACTCCGCTTCAGAGGTGGGAATGCTACTGACTGTCAATGGCAAAAATACAATTTATGCAATAAGACTATTTACATTGACTGTCTATTAAGTATATTGATCTTCAGGACATAACCTGGTTATGCCCATTTGCTCATGGTGTTGAGAAAAAACAGCTACATAAAGAGCAGAGATTGGTTTGTATCCAGATATACCACTACTTGAATGTATTGGATGGTAAAGTGCTGCCCTGGGAAGCTAACTCATTCATTTTCTATTTTTATCAACCAGATTTTACTTCTCTCTCCTCCTCTCCCCCCACGCAGAATAAGGTTAATAAAATGATTCACTGTCAGTCTCACAACTGCATGACTACATGTTTGTAACAGCAAAACTAAACATGTAAACACGATCTCTATTCACTGCTTTATTCTTCCCAATGGAAATCGTAAACCACGTTCATTTATCACCTCCATCCTATACATTGATATGCTGCAATGTAGGTTCCAAAGTTCATCTACAAACTCTGGGGAAGTACTTTTTTGGGATCAGTCAGATATCCGACACTTGCGGAAACCAATCACCATGCTTAAGAACATCCAAACCAGACCAAAGAGTTCCACGTATGGATGCCAACTACGCATGGAAATTTCTGTGCGATTGGAAAGGAATGTACACACTTTGCCTGGAAAGATACACACCCTGCTTACTTAATTCTGGCAAGTATCAGCCTAGATTGGCGAGAGCCAAGGCTTGAGGAACCTCAGAGTGTGCTTTGGGGCACTGATGGAATAATGTCCACTCAATTGCCATCATGAGTATTGTCCGTCAAGCAACCATTCATCAAAAAACACCCCACCACTTAGGGCTTTGGTTTGCATGGTGGCAGAAGGGAGATGAGTGGACACAGGTGCTTAGCAAACAGTAGAAGGGAAAGAACTAAAATATTGCCAAAATTATTCCACGGTGATCGCATACAGCTCCCAGGGTAGGAGCAGGCTACTGGCCAATTTTTTCACTTCAAAAAAAACCTACAAAATATAATAATTAATGTAACCAAAAATGGTTTCTATTAACTTATAACCATGTGTTAAGCTTACGGAAATGAAGAAAGCCAATATTAACTGAGATGCTTCAGAAGGAATGTTGTCAACAGAGAATTTGACTCAAGGGAACACCCTTCAATGGACCAATGGAAAGAGAAGCATGTTTTAAGATCTCATTGGCTGTTCCCTTAGGCATTATGGAAATGCACAGAATGGTATCAGCTCTCATGCAGACAAGTGCTTGAAGGTGTTTGACATCAAAGTAAGCCCAGAAATGAACAGATGATATCCTAGGGTTTGACTATTGCAGTGGAGATGGAGGAGAGATAAAACTCAAGAAAACATTCCCAAAATGCAGTAATCTGATCTGTAATAAATCCTCAATTTGTTCTCTTTTGATAGGAACATAACAGAGCTGATTTATCATTGCACCTAACAGTTGCACAATTCCACAGTGGTGGCCTAAGAACAGCACAGCAATTCATCATCCTGTCAGTGCCAAGATTTCACAATAGAATTTATCTTTATATTCCGTCACTGTGACCTAATTTTAGGCATTTACACTGATATAAATTGTTTATTAACACCTATTTCCTGTTTAGTCTTGTGCTTTTTTGCAACATCAGTCAATTTTGGCTCATGTGTCTGACACATCACGGATACATTACTTTTTGTGCTGATGCGGCAGAGTACAGATATAACGTGAAACAGCAGCTTGCTGCATTCGCTGTTTCTGTCTGAAGGTTGTGCAGAAAAGTTCTGATCTGCAAAATTGAAATTCCCGTCTACAAGTTGAGCTGCCCATTTGTAAGACAGGCATAATAACAAAGATTGGAGGCACTGAATTCCTCAAATAATAGATTAATTCTTTAAACGTCTCTCGAAACATAATGCTTTTGGAAAACGAGTTCCACTTACAAGGCTACCTTTAATTAGACATATTGGTCTAGTGGTTACAACATGGCATGGCGCTGGGGAAGAGGCAATTAGCAGAGGAATGCAGAGCCCAACTACATCTTATGAGTTGGTTGGGTCAAGTGCACCGTGTCCCAGCTGTTTCTAGAGGCAACAGTGTCCACCAATCACACATTCATCTGATGAACATGCGTGACAACTCAATGCAAGCACAACCACTTAATTGCACAGCTTGTATTGGCTATAAGTTCACAACGAGAAGTTGTGAAGAGGGCTTTCAAGTTGTTTCTATTTAAAATGGAAACATCGCCCTGGAGTGGGGATGGCAACAACGGCGCTTTCAATGCAAGTTCTCCCAAGAGGTTATGGGGAGGAGGGGAAGAATGGTGCAATTATCTTATTTTTCGATTTGCAAAGAGAAGTACAGCACAGCATGTCCATGACTGGAGTTTCATTATCCACTAGGCTGAGAGGCGGAAACACAAATGTTATGCACCTTAAAATAGAGTTCTAGGCACAAAGTAATGTTCGGTCGACATTAGTAAACGACATTGACACTTTCAACAGCTTGTGGCCGTGTAAAGTGAAGGAAGGTTTCACGTGAATGGAATGAACCATCCCACATCTGCACAAGCTCCATCTTACTGAAATCTGTAAGACCACTCCCCAATGCCCCAAGAAATACAGGACTACTCAATATGCAGAGTTTGATTCAATGCTCACTTTTGCAAAACAGAGGTAAAAAAAAAAATTGGTCCCAGTCTGTTGGTTGTCCTTACGAGCAATTTGCTTGGATGTAATCAATACAGGAGCTTGAAAAATGAAGACAACGTGAAGAAGTTGCCATTGAAAGCTGCTATACCAGCAGTAAGTAGGTGGCAGTAAACAGCTCGATGCGATGCCAGTAGCAAGCTTTAGGATGGTCACATCTGCTTCTGTGCACACTGAGCACTGTGCTGACGGTGCAGGTAATATCATTTGTACGCACTAGCTGCTGGAAAATGCATGGTCTATTCCAGATGTGCACCCTCCTAAAACAGCTGGCACATCATCAGAACCA